GGACGACCTTCTCGCCCACATCGACATTCCCCATGTCATGCTTCCCGCGATTGAGGCCCTCATGACCGACAACGGCATCGTCAACCAACACGTGGACAACCAACACATTGTCGACATGCTCACGGAGGCACACACTGGGACTTGGTTCTACATCGACGACCAGTGCAGCTACGCAGCACCACGACTTGGTACACGCCCTGGCGTACCAACAGCCGACTTCACATTCAACATGCTCATGGCGGACGTCACGCGAGACTACCACGACCACGCCGTCGAGGATGGAGCGACTTTCGACATACCGCATGCCCCACCACGTCTCCGAGCTTGCGACCACAACGCCACACTGTCCTCTACATCCTTCGTAGACGACGTCAAGGCGGCTGCATCCACGGCAGACGGCACCATGATACACGCACTCATCTCCAAGATGTGGGGACACCTCATACGCGCGACACTGCGAAGAGGCCTCCCGATCAACACCAAGAAGTCCAGCTTCATCGTCTACCCCAACACCGTCGCAGGCAAAAGAGCTACACGGACCATGATACGGGACAATCACAGCATCACCGACATGGGGCTCTGCGTCACCATCGCTAGAAGCACCAAGCTGCTGGGCGCGATGTTCAACGACAGGAACGACATGGGCCAGGAGACGGCAGCACGCACCATCGCGCTACGCGAGACAACAGGCCCACTCCGACGCACCTTGTTCCAACGACAAGCCATCTCCATCCAGACTAAGATCCACTACCTCGAGTCCTTCGGCTATTCAAGACTGCTATTTAACGCGGGGACATGGATCATCACAACAGCGCGGGACTACCACAGGATCAACACAGCCTACGTCACTGCGGCACGACAGGCAATAGGAATTACACACAAGGCCATGAAGGACAAACACATCACCAACGAGCAGATATTGGCACGTGCCCAACTACCGAACCTCGAAGACCGACTACGATGGCTACGACTGCGAGAACTTCTGCGACTCATAAAAGGATGCCCGTACGAAACGCAGGCACTCATTGACTACGACATCGAAGTCAACGGCACCTGGACGCAAACCATCAACAACGACATCCACACATGCCGACAGCACTGCGACGGCACCCGCATCACCACCGCACCCAAGGACATCATCGACTTCATCAAGGCTGCACGCAACGACATGCAAACGGTCAAGTCTTTTATTACGAGCACCTACAAGCGTGCACAAGACTCATCCTCCGACCGAGCAGCGCAGGACCAGCTGCGCGCAGACCTATCGCTAACGGCAACAGCACTGGGAGTGCTGCCACTACCCCGACAAGCAGGAACCACGACACCAGCACCAGCCAGAGTTATGTGTTACCATTGCGGTGCTACATTCAAGACCAAAGCAGCACACAACAAGCATGTCTACGCCGTCCACCAGGACAAGCACACCATAGACAACTACATCGTCGGTGACACCTGCCAGGTATGCTTGAAGTACTTCTACACCGCGAACAGACTTACCAAACACGTCAAATCGTCACGCCAGTGTGCAGCCACACTGATGCAGTTCGGAGCGAAGCCGCCAACAGAAGACATCGACGCGCACAAGGAGGAGACCCGACGCGTACGACGATCCAACCGACACGCTGGGCTTCCAGAAGACTACGCCGAGCGGCCACCCATCCAGCTACAGGGGCCATCACTGGGACCACCAACCCACGCCGACCACGACCACCGACCAATACCAGCCCAACTACCCACCGACGCACCCACCACACAAGACAGCGGACCCAACCGAGCAGACACGGGAATGACTGACATCACAGGAAAGCCCAGCATTGTACTGCTCTTCACCACCAACCACGACCACACCAGCGCGGTGACCGACGCCCTCCAAGCCACCGCAGACAGACACAGCATCTCCATCGAACTCCACCACCTGCCAACCATGCACCCACCCCAAACCGACCCAACGGCTTCCGACATGGCCACGACACCATACGACCACGCTGCCTTCTGCATCATCGACGCCGACCTTACGACCTTCAACCGCGACCTCAACCTCAGGACGCAAGAGGCACCTTGGGGACGACTGGACCTCACACCCACGCAGCACAAAGCGGTACGACAAGACAACGACAGCATGCGGCACGTCCTACGGACCGCACAGCGGATGATGACGATGCGCACACCTACCATCATCCTGGACAGCAGCCTCCGACACCTGCAGATACAGGAATATGCATACATCACAACGACGTGCAGCACAACCCCGACCACAGCATTCACTGCTTGCAACTGTCCTGCAGACATCACTACGACAACGACACTGACGCAGGCCATAGAGCAAACACTCCAGCCCACCGCCGACGCATACACAAAGGCACAGACGTGGCACTATAATGGATATGATGGCAACGATTGCTGGATGTCAGAACGTCCAGGCGCGGTGCTCCTCGAGCCGCGACCTGGACAGTACGGTGGCCAACTGTCGGCGGAGGAGATCCAGAAGGAGCTGTCGTCTATTATGGCACATACACAGTTTGCAGGATACCCTCCCAAGAGGCCTCCACCAGAGACCGCACCTCCCAGGCTGGCATCTTCGACTTCAGCATTACCTCCAGCGGCACCAACAGGAAGTATTGCATGTTCTTCAACACCCGTCGGCACGCACTGCTCACCTCCCCAGCCCACGGGGCGCTTGGGAGGTCGGCATAGTCCACCTCCCCAGCCCATGGGGCGCTTGGGAGGCAGAGGGTACCGACCGACGGGGGTCATTGAGGCTACTGGGACGGAAGTCGGTGGTGGGGCATCACTCCTGGAGACAGCGCAGCACCAGCCACGCCAGCATCACGAAGGCGTTGAGCAACTTCGTCAAGCTGGACTCCTCGAGCCGCGACCTGGACCTGGACCACCGACTCCACATGGCCAGGAGACATCCTCACAGCCCGTAACAGGGGCACATGATCGACGGCGGCGGCGACCACCACGCGATCGCCCCGAACCATCAATTGTACGGGCCCTACATCATCACGAAGGCCCCCTCGCGGAGCGAGGGGGATGAGATGAACACCTACCAGTGACTACAGGCCCGGGCGGCCCGCCGCTTTCTGGAGGCCTCAGAAGACTTCTAGTTCAGCGTGCCCGTTGGGGGTCCCGTCCTTCTCCCTTGAGGATCCCTGTGGCTCTTGAGGCCCCTCCCCCCTCTCACTGTCGGGTGCTCCCCCTCGGGCCCTGCCCCTTGCTCTCCGCCTTCCCCCGACCAGGGGGAACGGAGCCGCTTACACTACCGAGACTGGTGTCTCAGCGACGCCCCTCCACCAGCCTCCGTCACCCAAAGAGTCGCAACGCGCCGACATGTGGTACGCGACCGTCGGTTGGGTGACGGATGCTGGAACGGAGACGGGCCCTGGGCGATCCACAAGTGATCGCTTAATCTGGCCTGGCCTCCCCCCCCTCTCCTGGTCCAGGCGGCCCTTCTCCCGTGCCCCTGGTGGCCCTCGCCTTCGCTCTGTCCCCGCGCCTTCCCGTTGGCCTTCGGACCCTTGGGCTCTCGGGGCTCCCGCATTCCTTCTCTCCGAGGCCACTTTAGGCGTCTCTCTCTCTCCTGGTTGCGGGTGGCCTTGGGTTCCAGAGGCAATTTGAGGCCCCCTCCCGAGGCTCTCCGAGGAAGGGGGCCGTGCGTCGCGCCGCGCGCGGCGGCGCGGCTCGGGCTGCGGCGGACAGACCGCCTTGCCTGCAGTGTTCGAGAAGGAGGAGGCAGGAGGAGGTAGGAGAAGGGTGCATGAGGATATCCCCAGTCAAACTAGTCAGATTCTCATGTGCAGTCCTACCGTCGGAGTTATTATTTGTCGTATACCATATTGGACATTTTCTGACGCGACATATAACTCAAGTTGCCACTCATCTAATTGTAGCTAGGACAGTTCTAACATACGCTATACTTTATCCTTAAAGTAGCAACATCCTTGAAGCAAGCGGAGCTCAAGCCCACGCTCTCTGAAAGTCGGCCTCGGCCCCAGCACGGGCCCTGGCCCCGGCCCCGGCCCTGGCCCCCGGCCCCAGCCCGGGTCCCAGTCCCAGCCCCTGTCGCGGGCGCTGCCCCAGTCCGAGCCCCGTCCCCAGACGCGCCCCGATCCTGGCCTCCCCGGCTCCAGCCCCGGCGTCGATTCCAGCCCCACATGGCCCCGGTCCTGGTCCCGGCCCCGGCCCCGCAGCCATCCCCGGCCTTTTTGGCCCCCAGCCCAAGCCCCAGCCCTGGCCTTAGAAAACGCTGCATGGGCCCCCCCCTCCAAAGCGGAGCTTACATGCGAAGCTCAAGCCCACGCTCCCTGAAACTCACACGTCGAACCGGCGACCATCTGAAGACCCGATCGAAGAATCCACTTTTATGCATTCCCCTTGCCCCTGGATTCGTTAATCCTCCTCCTCCGCCTCTCTTCTCCTCGATGGTTTGCGTTGAGGTGTTGTGTTGCGCTAGCTGTCTGCACCTCGGCCATGCAGACAAGAGCTTGCATGCGTTTTTGCTCCAGGCAGGGTGCCTTAGACGAGGGAGCGTTTCGTGAGATGCCTACGCTTGGCTTACTCTCCATGTTGTAATGGCCACGCTTCGTCCTTTCAGGCCTGGATTTACGCCTCCCGCCCGTTCTCCTCTTCCTCATCCATTTCCTCCTCTCACCTCCTCCCCTGCTCCCCCCCTCTCATCCCCTCCCCGATCCCTCGTTTCTTCCGCTTTCTCCATTACCTGCCCTCGCTCCGCCTATTTCTGTACCTCCTCCGCGGCCCAGTGGCCAGCCCGATACCCGGATATCCGACATGCAGATCCTGGGGGGCCCAGAGTCCGCCCCACGGCTTTTGTTTGGGTTGCTGTGCGAAGCTACACGCAGCACGAACAGCCTACGTGTATTCGAGAAGACGTTCAGGTGATGCGGTATTTCAGCACTGCTCAGTTCCGCCTTTGCATGATTGTTTATTTTCAGCCTTTGCATGATATTAAGTGCGGACGTGAAGGGTAGAGGGTAGAGGTCTTTGCTTGGCCAATGGAACCGCCTGCGCCTACGACGGAAACAACACCAACGCAACCCACTGACGCCAGCAGTTGGCCAGATGATGTGCTTTTCTCCTTGCACGATATCATTGCTCGTCTACTTGCACCGACCTTCTGGATCATCATCATCATCATCATCATCATCATCATCATCATCATCATCATCAGCATCATGAAGCCGTTTCGTGGACGAGACTTTTTCAGTGGATTCGACCTGCTGCAGCTTGGTGATCGCGTCTTGTCCAAATCGGCAATGAACTATCAGCTGGCCCCCAGTTAATATTCAGTACATGTAATGACCACGACGCAGGTGTATGTACTGTTTCATGTGCGTGCAGAATCTATAGGCTTGCGCCACATCCGCCGACCCTTTGTTTTCGTATAGCCTTTATCGCCGGCTCTGGTGGACGCCTTCGCGGCGGCGGTATGTGGTTTCATGAGTAGGTGTTTTGGTTTAGTCAGGGTTGGGGTCGTGTTCGAGAGCCACGCAACTTGATAATTCCCGTAGCCCTTGCTGATGCGGATAGGAGTGAGGGGCTGCTTCGAGAAGGAGTTCCCGCGGCAGGGGCACGTCAGTGGCGCGCAGGAGACGGAACACCTGACGGGGTGAACGAAAGTAGTGTGCGCAGATAGTGCCACCAGTGCCAGCCACCAGCCAGTGCCACTCAGTCAGTGCAATCGCGGCCGCATGGGCGGCATTACAATGCAAGTTGCGGGTGGGAGGGTGGGCCGCGCGGGATGTTTGCAGGAAGGGCGCAATTCACAATTCATTAGTGGCGATCGTTACTTGCACCACGTAGCTGGCACACCATAGGTTACGCCACGCATGTTGCACCATATATGGACATGGCACGCAGAGGGTGCAAGAACCTACCGGTCGGGGCCACGAGGGCGCAGCGGGTCAGTTCGCTGGGTCTGCGGGGTTGGGGGTTGGGACCCAGGGGGCCCTGCTCGCGGGAAGGGGTTGTTCGATGAGGAGTTTGGGCGTAGGGCGAAAACCGCTGCTACAAGAAATTAGCGCGCGCAGCGGAAATTCCCAAACGAGCAAGTTCCGATCCGTTTGCGGGAGTTGTGGTCCTCGGCAAGAGAACTTCGCGAGCAATGCTTATATGCGACCATTCGACAGCGCGGTTCGCCTAGTTCCCGGGATTTGTTTAGACCACTGGTTCTAAATTCTCCGTGTCCCACAATACTCGTTGTGGCGCCCGAGTGTTTGCAATTTGCATGATATTGATTAGTGGATCGGCAGTGCCATCTGCGCTTTGAGGATGATTGCTTTGAGAATCAACAGCGGCCATCCTATCAAAATGCAAAAAATGCACGCGCGGGGCAGCCTTTCACCCAGACTGACGTCATTCGGATGTGCCGCGCGTCTTCTCGCAGCAAAAAGATGGTTATTGTGCTCGCACGCGGTCAGTCGAAAAAGGGTCGCTAGCGGCGCCAGTTCATGCGAGTCTTGGAGAACGTCTGAAAAGATTCGGATGGGTTCCAGGAGCCCCTGACAACGTTCTCATGCCTTCCCGGATCCGGCCCTCCCCCCACCTTACCACTCCCGCTCCCCTTCCCGGTCCATCTTCGCCATTCCACTTTCCTGAACTCCCTTACCCCTCCCATCGCGGCACCTTCTGTTCCCCTCCCCTCTTCTCCCCGTCGCCACATCCCCCTCCACTGCACACCAGTTGAATGTGTGGTCCCATCATGAGGCCCAAGATGTCATGCGCAAGTCAGCAGTGTTGAAAACAGACAGCTGGTTTGTGCGGGACACAAATGCCACAGGTATTGAGTAACGTTATCGGGTTCGGGGTTGAACTCTGCAAAACAGGATGCGCTCAGCTTGATCTGCAAAATGATGATTGCGGAAACCGTAGCAGGTGCGAGCTTGCAAGTGAAAGGCCATTATCATGGCGAAACCATTTGCGATAAGTCGAGGCGACAGGCGGACGAATAGTGCTTGGGCAACAAGATACGTCAAGCGGAGGTGTGCGTGATCTTCCACGTTGGTAGTGTGGATTGTGCGCAATCGCAGTTCCTGTGCCGCTTTCGGCGAGCCCGTTTGATGGCGGAGGAGCTGGCGCAGCCAGCCATGTTGGTGTTGACCCGCCGAGTCAACGAGCCCGCGGATTGTGGTAGAGGTCTCGCGGCCAACCACGCTCATGCTGATTCAGTTGTCGTGTGCCTCGCCGAGCACATCGTGTGTGGGTCGTCAGGCCAAGCCGTGGCGCACTCGATGACCCATTTTTGTGCGCCGACGGTTATGGAATATACATTCGGCCCACCTCCGCTTTGCCATGAGAAGGGGAGGGGAACCATCTGGGAGAGGATGCGCCAGTGCCGCAGCTTGTCCGACGCCGCGATCTGGGCTCCGCCACCTTCAGAGGCGCGTCTACTGTCTCCCCTGTCTTTGTCGTTGAGCGTGGCGGCCGCCCGAAGGAGCTCGTCTCGATGACCCTGATGGATATTTCTTTCCTATCACGAGGTGCCTGTGCGGCACCGCTTGGCGCTGTGTTTCCAGTCTCGTCAGGTCAACATCTTGGGCCTGGACGTGCTATGACTTGTGGCCCAGGTGATCCGATTCCGATGTCCACCTACGGTGGCTCCTTGGAGGGTGAACGGCTGCGGTCGGAGTTTCGAAGTACGTATCGGGGAAATCAAATTTAGCTGTCCAGCGCAACTTGCCCTGGGTCCTTGGTCCGAGCTGAGGGGAGGTCGCACACGTGGACGCGGGGGAGCAGGGGCCGACAAGGGTGCATAGATCGGATGTGAGTTTGTTAGGCTTGCCATGGTGGTGGACAGGCTCTGCACTTCCGAGTCGGCGTTGGTCGCGCGACCGCCTACAAAACCATTCGCGTCTAGGGGTTGGTTTCCGCGGCAATCGCCAGTGGAGAGGACCGCGGAACTCAGGTACGTTATTCTTCGGGCCGCATCGACCATCACAGAACCCACACAGCAGCTGGTCGCATCGGTCCACGTGACGCCTGGCCAAGTAGTCAAGTCAAGTCAAGTATGCCTTGAACCAGACGGTGCGTGAGCAGGGGTGAAACGTGTAGTACAGAATCACCAAATGCAGCCAGAATGCCTTCAGCTTTCGGCCCTAGCCTTCACCGCGCGCTCCCACGCTCTAACTCGAGCTGCACCACTGTCTTGGTGGAAGTAGGCAGCGAGTCGTTCGCAGGAGCCGGCGACCTTGAGACAGTTATTCCGAATTAGATAACCCCATGTGTGCCTCGGTCTGCCCCTCTTTCTCGGGCCGGCGACCCTCCGCAGCTCCCGGGTGCCCGGTTCAAACACCGAGCGTCGCACAGGGTCTTGGCCCGGTCGGCGCGCTAATTGGCCAATGAATGTCATTTGCCGTCTCGCGAGGTCGTCGTTGAGCTTCGTCTGGCCAGCGATCCCAAGCACGGTGGCGTTCGACACTCTACTGATGTACGTTGGAGGCACTCTGCAAATCTTTCTGGCACACCGGTTTTGGAAGCCGTCCAAACGTCAGCGTTCGGCCTGGTTCAGACACGCCGTGAAGAGTGCGTACATTAGCTTGGACAGAAGGCGTGAGTAGCATCCGTGGCGTGACGTCGAACAGGTAGCGTACCTAGCCAGCCAAGAAGGGCCCGCTGCCTCCGTTCGAACGGGCTCCCAGTCAACTGGTCGATGGTGGATCACTGGGAGCATCCGCTAGTGCAGGTGTAGGAGATTGCCACCCCAGCCCTGCCGTCCGCGCCTCCTGCACCTCCTAGGCATCCTCGACTGGCATTGTTCATCGTCGCTATCTTTTGCATGGTCTGGCCAGCCTCTGCCGACCCCGAAGTCGATCGCGCCGCCTCGAGAGGCGCGAAGATCAGCACCGCCCTTCCAGGCAGGCGTGCCCGCGATTGGTTGCCGTGCCGCGGCAGTTCTGGAAAGGGCGTGTTTGGTTGCTCCGCTGGAGAGGTCTGAAGACGGCCTGCTCGTCCTTAGAAAAGATTGGCGGGGCATGTCTATGTATGATCCAGGGTCGAGGGTTCACGGTCCCCCCCCCGGATGTTATGGTCCCAGGATTCCTCGGCCCCCCCCCCCCAGATGGTATGGTCCCAGAGACGACGACGACGACGACGACGACGACGACGATGACGACGACGACGACGACGGCGACGACGACGACGGCGGCGACTACGACAACGGCGACGACGACGACGACGACCACGACGACGACGACGACGGCTGCGGCGGCGACGACGCCGGCGGCGGCGGCGGCGACGACGACGATGACGACGATGACGACGGGGACGACGACGATGACGACGACGACAATGACGACGATGACGACGACAACGACGACGACGACGACGACGACGACAAGGACGACGAGGACGACGACGACGACGACGTCGACGACGACCTCTGAACCACCACAGCACCACACCACATCCACAGGGGGGGGGAGGGGGCACCGCAGCGCAGCACCACGCCACGCCCACTTCTGAACCACCACAGCACCACACCACATCCACAGGGGGGGGGGGGGGCACCGCAGCGCAGCACCACGCCATGCCCACAAGGGGGGGCGGGGGGGACCATCGCGCGGGGGGGGGGGGGGGGGGGGGGGGGGCAATGGCATCAGCATTGGGGGGGGCGGGGGCAAGCCCTGGACCATGTATGGCCACAGGCCTCCAAAGAAAACCACGGGGTTGGGCAGGCTATCCTTTAGCCTCCCTGAGCTCCTCTGGCCAGGCCTCCTTTATGTGGATAAAGACCCCCCTTGCCAGCCCACTCCACGCTTTTTGAACCTGCAGCCGTTGGTCGCTCGCAGGCCTTCCCCGAACGATTAAGCCTCATGCGCACCGAACCTCCACAGCGCTCACAACACCAGAGTCCCCACATACTCGAACTTGATGGGATTGGTGAATCTGGCGTGGACGGCCACTGCCTCGTGTGAGCCCGTATAGGGGGAAGTAAGGCACAGAGAGCATCTCAGGCCGCCCTCCCGGAAGACGAGACCGGGAGGCGATGGACGGAGCTGAGGCGGGCTTCGGCGGCCGCCTCCACACGCTCTGCTGGGGCTGCCCGCCCTGCAGCTGCGGAGTTGGCCGTCGGACGTCGTCGTGGCTCATGGAGCCAGGGCGTCCTGCTGGCGGGTGCGACTGTGGGGAGGGGTGAGGGGCTTGGTTTCCCACGAATGCTCTGGGTATGCAGGTCCTGAAAACCTTGTCTTAACCATCATGGCGACCATATCAGGTCTTGACGTTCTGTGATGTCCTGGACCGAGGGTTGGGCCAATTGGTGACCCGGGGCCTTGTGGTCCTGAACAACGAACTGGTTTGCTCATCGTGTTCTTGGGTGCCCTGTGGGCTGCTGAGCTGCTGGGCCATCCTAGTCTGTTGAGCCATGGCTTGCTTGTAAATGTCCAGGGCTTGGGTCCTACAAGCGAAAGCCCGCTCGTTTGTCACAACCTCCCGCTTTGCTTGAGCGGCCCGTACATGGATAGACTTAGTATCCTTCCGTTTCTGGGTGATCGTTTCTTTGTATTTCCCGGCGGTGCTGGTGTCGCCGAACTTCTACGCGAGGTGGGGTATGACGGGGATGTTGACTACAGTCTCTCATCCCGTGATTGTTCTGGCGCGTTCCCGCTTCCACTGTCTCAATGGCTTAGCGGCAGTCTGGAGCAGGATGCCAAGGCGGTAGTTGTCCTCTTTAAATTGGCAGTGCATGTGCCATTGCCAGTCGTCATCATCATTTCTCGTATTGTCGTATCTCAGCCGATGCGCATCCGCTGCCAGGAATTCGTCTGGCGCCAGGCCACACAACCAATGATCTGGGGCTGCACTGGAAGGGTGAAACTTGCTTCTGGTCGCCTGCCCACCTGGGCGCTCGCTTCCCTCGAGCCGCCCTGGGGTCGAGCCAAAATGGCTACGGCCCATGGCGGCGTCCTCCTCGCCCTCTCCACTTTTCTGCTGCTGCTCGCGGAGGCGCTCGCAGGGCGGGCGCTCAGCGCCAGCCTGGGTGTTCCCACGGTGCCTCTATCTGGTGCGGTCACTACGCGTCGTTGGCAGGCCTGGGGCGGGTGGTTTTTCGGGTTGAAGCGAGGCGCGCCGACACGAGTTCTAACTATGCGTTTTCGACTCGAAGGTTCCCTACTCAGTGCTTGCACTGAAGAGGTCCTAGCGGAGATTGAAGATTTGGCGAAAGAGCAAAACCCGGCCGATTTCGGTGGGCGGCCAGGTTCCCGGGTTCCCGGGTTCCCGGTTCCGGGTTCCGGGGCGATTTCGTTGGGCGGCGGGGTTCCCGGGTGTTTGGTAGATTTTCAAATCGATCGGTCTCACCATCGATCTCATTATCCATTCTTGTATCGATCTCATTATCGATATCACAATCGATCTCATTATCGATATCACAATCGATCTCACGATAGATTTGACGAGCGATCTCACGAGCGATCTCACGATCGATCTCATTGAATCGATTTCACTATCGGTCTCACGATCGACCTGGCAATCGCCCTCACAATCTATGCCACAATCGACATCACAATCGGTCTCAATATCTGTATCACTAATTTCCAAAACATCCGCTGATTGGGCGTTCTCTCTGGTGTAATGTTGTAGATAGAAGTCGTCGAATATTTGGCTTGTTCCGCATTGAAGCGATTATCTCAATGCCGATCGGCTAAGTCCCCACTCAGTGCTTGCACCGAAGGGGTCCTAGCGGAGATTGAATTGAAAGATTGGGCGCAAGTGCCCGGCCGATTTCGGTGGGTGGCTGGGTTTCCGGGTTCCCGAGTTCTGGGTTCCCGGGTTCCTGGCTCCGGGTTTCAGGCCGAGTTCGGTGGACGGCGGGGTTCCTTGGTTCCCGAGTGTTTGGTCGATTTTCTAATCGATCGGTCTCACCATCGATCTCATTATCCACTCCTGCATCGACCTCATTATCTCACAATCGATCTCATTATCGATCTCACATCTCATAATCGATTTTACTATATATCGCACGAGCGATCTCACGATCGATCTCACGATCGATTTCATTGAATCGACGTCACTATCGTTCTCACGATCGACCTTACAATCGTCCTCACCATATATTACACAATCGATCGTACAATCGATCTCAATATCTATATCACTAATTTTCAAGCCATCCACTGATTGGGGTTTTCTCTGGTGTAATTGGTTTCAGTTACGTGACGTGTGCGAGGACAACTCCGTAGGAGCACTGTCGCGACGATGTTTCGGTTGGAAGCCGTCTTTAAAGGCGTGTGTTTATACAGTTTGTAACAACAACGTAGGCTGACATATACCATATTCGGTTACATGCAAGTATTGCTGCTTACTTCATAGTGTGTATCCTATGACTGCCCTTCGCTCAGGATTTACGCGATGGTCTGGGCGGCGTTGCCATCATTTGGACTCTGCGTCCCGACTGCGCGTTTCGATCAGGAGTTTCGTGCAGGAGGTTTATGTTTCTGGCATGGCAGATTTGTCCCATGCTATGCGCACAGACGAGCTGATCGACGGCGATTGGTATACCATGGTATCAGCTGCGTTTCCAACATGTCCACGCCAGATAGGTAGGAGCACCAGTTGCACCAGGAGCAACAGCCGCCAAGCCGGCGGCAGCCGCAGTGGTAGCATCAGCTACATCCAGATGCGCAGTGTAAGCAAGATGTGCGAGTAGCAGCAGCAGTGAACAGGAGGAGCATGTGGGCTACCCGATACCGCGCAGCCACTTGCCCTGCTCGGCACCCGCCTGTAGAAGCCCCTGCAGCGCAGCGCGCAGCCGCCAGCGCGGTGCGCGGGGCAGCCGCAGCGTCGCGCTCCTCACTCGTGCGAGCCATGGCGGGGCACCAACACACGCCGGGTGCCCGGCCCCGCGGATGCTGGGGCACCAGCGGATTCTTTGAGGGCGCCGTGCGATTGTTGTTGAGAGGCACACAGTACTTGCGCGCATATGTAGTTTGTCCACCCACACACACACCTACTTTAGCATTTGTATGCGTTGCGTACATATACATGCAATGCTGTTTCTATACATGTAAATGTGGTTTGCGTACGTGCGTGTATATTGACACGCTTTTTTCAGAATCGGTGCACGTCCTGCGGTGTGCAGAAATGTCCTGCGGCCTGCAGCCTTTTCCGCCAACGCGGCTTGATAGTTGGGCAACAAGGGTATTCTTAACCTTGGGTGAGGAGGAATAAGAGCTGCGGGAGGAGGATGAGGAGCTAGAGGAGGAGCAGCAGGAGGAGGAGGAGGAGCAGGAGGATCAGCAGGAGGAAGATGCAGGAGGAGCAGGAGGAGGATCAGGAGTTGGAGCAGTAGGAGGAAGTGGAGGAGTAAGGCGAGGACCAGGAGGAGGAGCAGGAGGAGGCGCAGGAGGAGCAGGTGCAGGAGCAGGAACAGTGTCAACAGCGTAGTGTCAACAGCGTAATACCAAAAGCCTGGTATCGCAGGAGGAGGAGGAGGACGAGGAGGAACGGAACGGCACGGATGGACCCGCGGCGGAGTGCACGGCATTGAATATGCAATCAAGCCATGCTCAACATTAAAAAGATTGGGGGATTTGAATTCCTGAGAGGGGCTTGTGGCCGCCTCAAAAGGAACTAAGCTTTCTCTTTTGGATTGGGCCGCTCTGGCCTGCTCCTGTCAACGAACTCGCTCTAAAAGCGCAGGCATTCGTTGCTCATGGGAGGGGGCCGTCTCTGCACCTGTAAACTTGGTTCGCACAACGGTCGGAGCATCCTGGCTCGGAGGGGCGGCAGAGAGGCCAAGCCTAGCAACCAGAACATCACGATCGATAATTGCCCGAATCCGTGGATTCGGGCAGTTCCCCTTTCCGATATGTGCCCAAGATCACCACACCTTTCCGTGGTGGAGCTGTGCAGGGACGACCCAATTTTGAAAGCTCTCCCCTGGGACCATACGTAGAATCTGCTCCTTGGACGCGGACCGACACGACTCCCGAAGCTGCCAGAATCCCGAGGTCGCGGTCCAGCCATGGCGACGAGTTGATGCCCCATGGGATTGTCGAGCAGCTTTTTTTGGAACGGAGGCGGCCTTCGGAATCCATCCATTGAAACTTCACCGAGGCCGCTTTCAGCTACCCTGAAACATGTCATATATTGCAATCCTAGATCTCCCTTTTACAGTCGGGCCACGACGCTTGTCGCCGCGACCTCTGTGCTCGAGTCCGATGAGGCCTTGCCCACTTGCTTTTGCTTTCAAAAAGGGGCAACACGCGTGCGGCAAGCTTCATGATATGTACCACCCTCTCCGCCGCCAGATTCAAATATTGCGTGAACAGGCAAAGGGGCAGAATGGAGGTTAAAGGCGTCTTTAGCGTACCGGTCAGCAGCATCCTCAACAGCAACCATCTTCTCGACGCTCTCTAAGCCCTGAGTTACCTCTAGTTCACGATGAGCCTTGACGTGGCGCATCCGTAGTGTCACAGAAGGGGGAGCAGGTGGAGGAGTAGGAACAAGAGGAGGAGCAGGAGCAAAAGCAGGAGGAGAAGGAGGAGAAGGAGGAGGAGGAGAAGGAGGATGATGATGAGGAGGAGGAGCATCAGAGCAAGAGCAGAGGGAAAAATATCAGGAGGAGGAGGAGGAGCAGGAGGAGGAAGCAGGAGCAGGAGCAGGAGGAGGAGCAGGCAGGAAGCAGGAGGAGGAGCAGTAGCAGAAGAAGAAGAAGGACAATGAGGAGTAGCAGGAGCAGAAACAAGAGCCGTTGCCCGACTCGGGGGCGCGGACCCCCCCGCCCGGCCCTCGACACAGGGGTGGGGGGTTCAGCAGCAGGCGACAGGCCAAGCGCGGCCCCCGGCGATGACCGCTGAGGGGCCCGCGACGCTCCTCGTCATCGACGGGACTGCCCGACTGCGAGGCGGCCCAAACATGCAAGGGCAGCAGAACCCACCCTTCCACGGGCCAAGCAGATCTTAAACACCGGGCCAACCGCGGCCAGGCGAGATGCTCGCCGCAGGCGGACAGCGGCTCTGGAAGCAGCCTTCAGAAGAACACGTCAACGGCGACGCCATCAAACCTGACGTCGCTGATGACACCAATTACGGCCACACCACCAAAAGCATCGTCATAGAGGTCCCCAATTGTTTACCAGAGCGTCATGGAATACAGCCGCGGCCTGCCAGGCCATCAGGAAGGTGGGCAGGGACCCATCCCAATGCTAACGATGCTTTCGGCGACGACGGGGTTCTCCTCCTGCCTGCCTACATCTCCGCGTGTGCCCACTACGCCCTACCCTCACAAGCCCTTGCCCTACGGCCCCCACGACGGACCCGACGCGCCCCCCGCCACTCCCTGAGTGGCCGCATGCCCTGCGAGGGAGCCCGTGGGGGGGGATTCCCGGGGGAGCGGCCATGGGGGCCGCTGGCCAGGCCAAAGCCGGCGCCGCTTGCCCCCGGAGGCATGCCCAGGGAAGCGGCCATAGGGACAGCCAAAGCCAGACCTTGGAGCCCCACACCCGACCCACCATCACGACGGCTCCCGCAACCCACCAACACGAGGGTGTCCAACGACGGCCGCCGCGTACGCATGCCCCCACCCCCCACGACGACCCCCGCGACAGCCCCCACGACGACCTCCACCACGGACTTCGCCCCCCCCCCCCCCCCCCCCCGCCCGACGACCACCGCGACGGCCGCGCCCCGAGTGTCTGGTTGACCCAAAAGGGTGTCAATACATTATTTCAATAAATGCAATCCAATTCTCCAGCGCAATAAATTTGCAAAACAATTGCCCCAAATCTATGTTACCACCCCCTTTCAGCTGGACCCCCTTTTGGTCACCCAACGAGTGGCCGCGTGAACTGCGAGGGATCCCGCGGGGGGCATACCCTGGAGGAAGCAGCCGTATACGTTATAGGGGCAGTGGGCCAGGCCAAAGCTGACGCCGCTTGCCCCGCGGCGTGGCCGGCATCCCAAGTGGCCGCGTGCCCTGAGAGGGAGCCCACGAGGGGGATTCCCGGGGAAACGGCCGTAGGGGCCTCTGGTCAGGCCGAAGCCGGCGCCGCCTGCCCCGCAGCCGGCTCGGCCTCCTGAGTGGCCGCGTGCCTAGAGAGGGAGCCCGCGGGACGACACCTTCCGCGACGGCCCCCACGACGATCCCCGCTACGGCCCCCACGCCCCCCCACCCGACGACCACCGCGACGGTCGTGCCCTGAGTGGCCGCGTGCCCTGACAGGGAACCCGTGTGGGGCATGCCCTGGGACGCGGCCATAGAGGCCGCTGGCCAGGCCAAAGCCGGCGCCTCCTGCCCCGCGGCGGGCTCGGCATCCCGAGCGGCCGCATGTCGGAGAGGGGGCCCGCGGGGGACATGTCCGGGAAAGCGACTAAAGGGACAGCCGAAGCCAGCCCCCAGAGCCCCCCGTCGAAGTCCCACCGCCACGACGGCTCCCGCAGCCCACCAACACGAGGGTATCCCACGACGGCCCCCGCGTACGCATGCCCCCATCCCCCTACGACGACCCCGCGACGACCCCCATGCCCCCCCACCCGACGTCCGCCGCGACGGCCGTGTCCCGAGTGGCCGCATGCCCTGAGTGGGAGCCCGCGGGGGGACATGCCTTCGGACGCGGCCAGAAGGGCGGCCGGCCAGCCCGCAGCCTGCGCCGCTGGCTCCTCGGCAAGATCCCGACTGGCCGAGCACCTCCGAGACGCCCCACGCGACGGCCCCCGCGACGGGCTCCGCGACGGCCCCCGCGACGGCCCCGCGACGACCCCCCCCCTCCTCGTCTTCCCCCCTTGCCGCCCGCCTCCATGAGGGAAGCCACTGCCCCCTGCCCCGCGACCCTTCCCTGCCCCGCAAACCCCTTGCCCTGCGACCCTCACCACTCCTTGCCCTACCCGACGGCCCCCGCGACCCCGTGCTCAAAGGCCCCCATGACGGCCGCGCCCAGAGTGGCCGCATGTCCTGCGAGGGAGCCCGTGCACACGGGGGCATGCTCAGGGAAGCGGTCACAGGGGCCGCCAGCAAGCCCAGGGCTGTCGCAGACTGCCCCTGGACGGGCTAGAAAACCTTAGTGGTAGTATGCCCTGAGAGGGGGCCCGCGGAGAGCATGCACAGGGAAGCGGTCATATGGAGGTGCCAACGACGCTCCTTGGGATCCCCCACCCAGCCCACACAAAGGCTCCGCGACCTCCCGCTCAACACCAATGCCCCCGCCACCCACAATGACGACGAACCTCTACGACAGCCACTGCGCGACGACCCCCCGTGACCTCCCCGACGACGGCCCCCCGCGACGAACCCTGCGACGGCCTCCCTCGGCTACGCGGACGGCGCTTCCCTCCCGCGCTGCTGGGCGGACGACAGGACAACAGTACCGACGGCCTGTTGCCCCGCGACCCCGCGACGGCCTTCCACGACGCCCCCGACGACGGCCGAAGACTACCACGACGGCCCCCATGCCCCCCCCCCTCCCGACGGCCCCCGCGACGGCCTCGCTGACCTCCGGCGCGACAGCCTCACGGACACCCCTTATTACGAGCACGATTGCGAGGACAGCGCTGTCTCGCCAGGGGGACAAGCCCCAAGGAGGACGAGTACGCCGCGTCGGACGACTCCAGCACGTCGAACCCACTCCTTGTCGCCTGGCGACAGTGGCGGCGGCAACTCCTTACTGGAAATGACCATCTCACCCCGGCGCCGCTACAGGCTGCGCCACGACCCCCCACGTCCCCCTGCACCCCTCCTCAGGGGTCATTCCGATTCCGCCGGTTCGAATCGAATCGATTTCCGCGATTCCGATTTCGAACCGACTCGATTCCGGGATTCCGATTCGCGATTCCGATTTCGAGTTCGCCCGATCCGGCTTCTGCCGATTCGATGCGTCATCCGGCTTTTGCCGGCTTTTGCCGATCCGGCTTCGCTCCGGCTCTGGCCCCCAAGGGGGGAGTCCAAACCCCCCCCAGGGGGGGTTTCCAAACCCCCCCCCCCCCCCAGGGGGGGTTTCCAAAAACCCAACCCCCCCCCAGGGGGGGGTTCCAAAAACCCAAACCCCCCCCAGGGGGGGTTTCCAAAAAACCAAACCCCCCCCAGGGGGGGTTTCCAAGAAAACCCGGAACCCCCCCCAGGGGGGGTTTCCAAAAAACCAAACCCCCCCCAGGGGGGGTTTCCAAGAAAACCCGGAACCCCAAACCCCCCCCAGGGGGGGTTTCCAAAAACCCAAACCCCCCCCAGGGGTGGTTTCAAAAAAAACCCGGAACCTCAAACCCCCCCCAGGGGGGGTTTCCAAAAAACCAACCCCCCCCCAGGGGGGGGTTCAAAAAAAACCCGGAACCTCAACCCCCCCCCAGGGGGGGTTTCCAAAAACCCAACCCCCCCCCAGGGAGGGTTTCAAAAAACCCAAACCCCCCCCAGGGGGGGTTTCAAAAAACCCAAACCCCCCCCAGGGGGGGGTTCCGATTTCGATTCCGATCCGGCTTGACGCGGTCCGGTTTCCGACTCGATCCGGTTTGGCCGTGCCGACTTCAGCCGATTTCGATTTGGCTGCCGTCTTTTGCCGACTTCTGCCGATTCGATGCTCCGGTCGACCCGATCCGGCTTATCGATTCGATGCTGGGGCCGCCTGCCTCCTCCCTGACGGCCCCCACGAAGGCCGCCGCGACCCCCCTGGCCTGATCGACGGCCCCCACGCCCCCCACCGGGCGGCCCTCAACGACGAACGAGGTGGCGAGCCGCCACGTTTGTAAATCAATGGCCAGAGTAATGTGAACCAGGAGCCGCCTCGCTCAACCTTGCCCTCCTTTTCGTCCGCCTACTCGCCCCCTAACTCAATCAATCAATCAATCAATGACGCCGTGTCTGCACGACACATCGGCTGAAGAAGTGCCGCCGGCTGGAGGCGCATGTCCAGACCAGGGCACAGAAATCAAGGACAGTTCAAGAAAAGGTGTACGGGCTGGCGATTGTCCTCCACACGTGCGGGTTATAGTGTCCAGGACTGAGAAATTGAAACGAGTCGCTCTCTTGGGGGGAAGGGGCGGGGAGAAGGAGGGCAGGAGGGGGGGGAGGAGGACGAGGAAGAGGAGGGGGTGAGAGAGACCCCTGATCGCTGAAAAGGCGTGTGCTCTGACCACTGAGCTCCATGCCAACCGGGGTCGGCCTCTCCGCCTCGGTGCGTGTGAGCTGGCGGGCTCGATAGATCCTGCGCTGAAGATGCTGCGTCTGAGGAATGAATCCGGCATGGCCGCGATCCTGCCAAAAGACAGGAGCTGTCGGAAAATAACTGTTTGGCTCAGTGCCACTTCGTGTGCTCGTCGTCGCACCTCTGCATTCCAGACCCGCGACACCATGGGGTGCGGAATGCCCAATACTTGCCGGAGGCATTGCACGTGGAAGGCATCGAGCTTGTCTCGGTCAGCTTTCTTGAGGCAGAGCGTCTCGATGCCGTAGATCAATATGCTTATGATGTACGCCCGGAACAAGGTAAGCTTCCGTGATCGCCGGATGTTGGCATGCCGCCATTTTAGTTTGAGGGTGTGGAACGCAGCCCTCGCCTCTCCGATCCTCCTTGCCACGGCTGTGCCAGTGCCGCCATCTGCGCACAAGAGACCCCCGAGGTAGACTGCAGAAGTCACAGGCTTCACTGGGACTCCGTCTGGAGCGAAGATGTCCGAAGCATGCCTGACTCGTAGATGGACGGTCTTCGCCCAATTTGGTTCTAGTCCGTACGCGTGGGCCCTCGCAATGAGACGGTTCAGCAAATGCTGCGCTCTTGGTATATCACATGAAATAAGCGCCGTATCGTCGGCAAAAGTATCATCGAAACACATTTTATCCGAAGGAGTTGGGCCGAACTCGTTCACCAAGTCGGCCTGTACATCTGTCATGAGAACTGACAGCATAATGACATAATGATGAAGAGGTATGGGCTCAGTGGGCAACCCTGGGCGATGCCCGCGCCTATTGGGCGAGTTCCGGAGGAGCCATGGCTATCTGTCATGTCGAACGTGCGATTGGTATACATGCTCTTCACCATGTCGCAGTAGGCCCGCGGGATGCCAAACCGGGCAAGAGCAATTTGGAGGGCTGCTGGGTCTATTCTGTCAAACGCCTTCGACCAATCTAGGAGCATGGCTGATAGTTGCCCGTCTTTGGACGCCCAGGTCCGTTCGATCGCTCTTTGAACTATAAGAAGATCGCATCAGTGGAACGCCTCTGCTTCCGGAAACCGAATTGCGTGTCCCTCAGTTTCTCCTCCACCGTTCCAGTGGCCATTCTGTTCAGGATGAGGCTCGCGACGACCTTGTAGCTGACGGACAGGAGAGAGATTGGCCGGTAGTTCTGCGTCAAGGACTCGTCGCCTTTCTTGAAAATGGCAGTCACTGCGCAATGTTTCCAGGATTGCGGAATTGACCGGCACTCCCAACACTTATTGCAGAGATCAATTCTCGCCCCACTATTCGCCCCTTAACTGGCCCGCCCAATTCTCGCCCCACTATTCGCCCCACTAACCTGCACATGCTCACTCTTGTGGCGGCGGGGGCGGTTGGGTGCCTCCTGGGGGGGGGGCTGGGGGGGGGCGGGGGGGAACTCTCTCGCCTACGACCGCCGAGGCAAGGGCCAAAGTGGCCGCGGCCATCAGCCGCGCGCTGCGCGCCAGACAGCAACGCAGTGTTGGTGCTAAACCCGGACACAAGCACGAGAAGCACCGAAACGGGGCGGAGGTTGGGGGTGAACCGCCAGACCCCAAGGCCCTTGGAGGGCCCAGGTCGCGCTCGGTCGCCAGCCTGGAGCGTGTCTCACCGCCAATGTGGCACTCGGCTGCAGAAAGCGTTTCGAATGAACTGCACGGCCGAACCGCACCCCAGCCAGACCGCGGGCCATTTGCGCACACCACTTCTTGACCAAACAGCCGCTACGGAAGGCTCAAACCTCCCCCGCCCTCGGTGGACTGTCCCCAGGTGGCCCTCAGGTCAATGTACCTAGAACCCTACGCCTAGGCGAGGGCTCCCGTCGTTGACCTGGGGGACGTTTGTGAAAGCTTCCAACGAACAGGGTGGGCGGCCTTTGAGCCTTTCACCTTGGCGAGAGTGGAAGCTGGGCCAGGCTGGCCACCCCTCTCTTGGCATGTTTATGAGACCTCCTCCTCCCTCTTCCCCTCATCGTTTCGGCTTTTGCTTGTCCAGGAGCCATGAACCATCAGGAGCAGGAGCGGGAGAAGAAGCAGGAGCAAAAGCAGGAACAGGGGCAACGTCGACAGCGTAGTTTCATCAACGTTAGCAGCGTAGTGCCACAGGAAGGGGAAACAACAGGAGCAGGAGGAGCAGACGCAGGAGCAGGAGTGGCGCGGGGCGCGTTACCGGCGGCTGCGGCGACGGCGCAGCATCAGCAGCAGCTGGAGGGTGAGGGCAGACACGCGGTTCATATCACGTGTGGATAGCAGTGCGCTTCTGGTATCGGGGGCAGTGCCGACAGCGTAGCGTCAGCAACGTAGCTGCTGCAGCGCAATGTTTACAACGTAGTGCCACAGGAAATGGAGAAGCAGGAGGCGCCGGAGGAGGAACAGGAGCGGGAACGCGATGAACAGTAGGAGCAGGAGCAGGAGCAGGATGCGGAGACGGAGGAGGACGAGGAGAAGCAGGGAGGAGGAAGAGGAGGAGGAGGAGGAGGAGGAGAAGGAGGGGAAGGGGGAGGAAGAGGAGGAGGAGGAGGCGGAGGAGGAGGAGGAGGAGGAGGGGACGAAGGATCAATCTTGCTTGCATTCCTCGTCCTTCTCCGCCCTCATCCCCCTCATAGCTTATTATGTTGTTTTTTTTTTTTGTTTTTTTTCCTCTATCTCTCTCTCTCGTTCTCTCTCTGGCTCTCTCTCTCTCTCTGACTCCCTCCCTCCCTCCCTCCCTCCCTCCCTCATTCCTCCTCGTCGTCTGTCCTCCACCTCCACCTCATCGGTTTCGTTCCGTCTGCCGCGATCCCTCCTCCCCCACCTTCTCCCTCAGCGTTTCCCCTTCTTGTGCAGTCTTCCTCTGCGTCCTTCTTCTCCTTGGGAGCCGTATCCAGACCATCATCTCTCGTGCGTCCAGGTCCATCCCTCCCATCCTTCACCGTTCTCCCTTCTTCGCCGCCCCTCTCCTGGCTCTTCGATCGTGCTTCACCACTCCTTCCGCCGGGGTCCTCCTGGCCGCCCCCTGGGCCGCCGACGAAGCCGAGGTCCTCGGACGTCTCGGACGCGTTCTCCAAGCGCATGTCGCAGGTGCGGGAAGAGTTCGAGCAGGCCTTGGAGGAGAAGCAGGAGAAGGAGGATGGGGAGGGAGCAGGCTGGGAGGACGGAGGGAGAGCGAGACGAGAGAGGAAGAAGGGAGGATGGATGCGGAAGGGTGTGGAGTTTTGATGCCCCTCTGGAAGGGTTCGGGAGGGGATTGGAAAGGGCTTTGATGGGGGGCGGGAGTCAAAAGGGTGAGTTACAGGGGGGCGCTTGGGGAGCGCGCCCTCCCTCATCCTTTATTTTCCTCCCACTGGTTAAGAAGGAGACGACCTGATTGCGTTGGAGTCGCCTTCCGAGTCACTCGCCATCGCCTGCCGCCACCTGACCCCGCAGGGGGAAAGCGAGAGGGAGGATGAGGAAGAAGAGGAGGAGAACAATGACAACGACGACGACTAGGAACTAGGAAGAGGTCGACGACAAGGTGGGGGAGGGAGGAGGGGAGGGGGGGGAGGGAGTTGCTGGGAGGAGGGAGGAGAATAGGAGGAGGACGAGGAGGGAAGGATGCGAGGGGGTGAAGGCAGGCCGCACTCTACATGCCTCCCAAAGGTGATAAATCAGTCATGTACGGCTGCACGTGCAGGCCCTTTGGTCATCGCACCAGCTAAATGTGCATCGGGGTGAACACATCGCGCTCCCGATTCTATCCGTCAAATGTTCCGTTGCAGACGCTTCTCACATCTTATCGAAGACGCCTACGGCGAATTGCTACCTTTTGAAGACCCCATGCAGCCAAATTTTGGGCTGAAGTCTGGCCAAGCTATTGGACTATGTCTTCCACACCGTTGTGGAACCCCTTGGAGGAACACTGAGGAGAGGAAGAGAAAGGAGGAACACTTAAAGACAATCGATTAGTTTGGCCTGTCCGGGCCTTTCTAGAGGACTTCTTGGAGGCCTCTTGGGCCGTCTTGTAGGCCTGGGGAACCTCTTGGGCCGTTTTGGGCCATCTTGGGGCCATCTTGGGCCGTCTTGGGTGCATCCTCGGCCGTCTTGGAGTCATCTTGGGGCCATGTTTGACTCGCGGGGCCACATGACCCATCTTGGAGGTCATCTTAGCCGTCTTGGAGGCCCTATTGGAGTCGTCATGGGCTGGAAAACCGATGGGATGCGAAATGTGGGCGGCTTCCGATTGGCCTGCGACTGGCTGGGCTGCGACCCAGTTGGGAATTCACAACCGAACACAAGCCACAGGGGGCGGCGGATCGAAGACGCTTACGGCGAACCACCGCCGCCCCCTGCCTTTGTGGAAGCGGCTATGTGGCCGAACATTGAGGCCAGACCTGCCAAGCCAACGGACCATGTGTTCCCCGAATCGGTTTGGAAAGCCTTCGGGGAACACGTGGGCATCTTGAAGGTCATCTTGGCCGCTTGGAGGCCATTTTGACCCTTTCGGGCCTTCTAGGAGGACGTCTTGGAGGGCTATCGGGCCGTCTTGGAGACCATCTTGAGCGTCTTGGAGGCCTCTTCGGCCGTCGTGGGGGCCTCTTGGGGCCGTCTTGGGCCTCTTGGGCGATCTTCGGGGGCCGTCTCGGACCGTCCGAAGGTCGAACCAAAAAATATGCGAACGGACTTCCCCACATAATGATGTTACGGGGTATCGGGATCAAGGGGCATTTTGTCATGAAATGGCCGACCTGCCTTCACCCTTTTCCATCCTTTTCTATAACCCTCCTCCTTCTCCTCTGTCTCTTCTTCGTCCTCGTGCTTCTCCCCTATCCTCCTCACTCTCCTCCTCCTCCTCCTCCTCCTCCTCCTCCTCTTCCTCCTCCGTCCCTCCTCGCTCTGGCGGGGCCTCCCTGGAGGGGTGGGAGGGGCACGAAACCTGATGAATAATATGGTGTGCCGATACCCTCCTCGCTCTGGCGGGGCCTCTTTGGAGGGGTGGGAGGAGCACACAACCTGATAAAGAATACGGTTTGCCGATACCCTCCTCGTTCTGGCGGGGCCTCCCTGGAGGGGTGGGAGGGGCACGAAATTTGATAAATGTGATGGTGTGCCGATACCCTCCTCGCTCTGGCTGGGCCTCCCTGGAGGGATGGGAGGGGCACGAAACCTAATACATAATATGGTGTGCCGATACACTCCTCGCTCTGGCGGGGCCTCCCTCGGAGCAGTGGAAGGGGCACGAGACATGATAAATAATATGGTGTGCCGATACCCTCCTCGCTTTGGCGGGGCCTCCCTGGAGGGGTGGGAGGGACACGAACCCTGCCTCCCTGGAAGGGTGGGAGGGGCACGAAATTTGATAAATAATATGGTGTGCCGATACCCTCCTCGCTCTGGCGGGGCCTCTTTGGAGGAGTGGGAGGGGCACGAAACCTGATATCGGATGGGCACGAAACTTGATAAATCATATTGATATGGTGCGCCGATGCACTCCTCGCTCTGGCGGGGCCTCCCTGGAGCAATGGGAGGAGCCCGGAACCTGATAAATTATATGGTGTGCTGATACCCTTCTCGCTCCGGCGGGGCCTCCCTGGAAGGGTGGGAGGGGCACGAAACCTAATACATAATATGGTATGCCGATACCCTCCTCGCTCATGCGCGGCCTCCCTGGAGCAGTGGGAGGGGCACGAAACTTGATACATCAAATTGTTTGGCGATACGCTCCTCGCTCTGGCGGGGCCTCCGTGGAGCAGTGGGGGGGGCACGAAACCTGCCTCTCAGGAGGGGTGGGAGGGGCACGAAACCTGCTAAATAATATGGTGTGCCGATACCCTCCTCGCTCTGGCGGGGCCTCCCTGGAGGAGTGCGCCGGGCACGAAACCTGATCTGGGAGGGGCACGAAACCTGATAAATGAAATTGTTTGGCGATGCCCTCCTCGCTCTGGTGGGGCCTCCCAGGAGCAGTGGGAGGGGCTCGAAACCTAATAAATTATATGGTGTGCCGATACCCTCCTCGCTCTGGCGGGGCCTCCCTGGAGGGGTGGGAGGGGCACGAGACCTGATCAATAAGATGGTGTGCCGATACCCTCTTCGCTCTGGCGGGGCGCAGGCGAAGGTATATCAGGCCATCTACGAGGAGGGCACGGAGTGGACGCCGCCCGATGCACAGGCAGGGACACCTACGGAAGGAGAGGTGCCGCTGAGAAGTTTGATATTTTTACTTCGAGCAACGGTTCGGCAGCGCAGCATGGCACAGGCATTTGGACGCCCCCATCGCCAAGCGACTGAGGGGGGCAGGCGCGTGCCACGGCCACCCGCGCTTGTTCACACAGGCCGAACATTCAGGTGCTGTCATCAAACGCGGGGGAACCTGCATTCTTTTCCCAGGCGCCGGCTGTGCGCGCCAGGGACAGTGGCCAGCCCGGCTGTGCGGCTGCCATGGATAGCAGTGGACCCGGCTGCGTGGCCGCTGCAGAAAAAGAGAGCTTATCGCATCATTATCATGCTCGTGCATATGTGATTAAGGACATACGGACATCTTGCGCTGAACTCCGAGCCCGTGGTTACATGTGTGACCGTGTTAACATACAGAGGTTATAACTTCCACTGGTACACAATATTTTGGTGCTATACTCTCGGGTGAGTACCAACTGTCATGGGTGGCTACACCTGCCGATGGGCATGTGAGATTGCCTGGGAAGCGGGCAGGGCCGCAGTATCAACGCATCCCAAACTTGATGACCAAGGCTCAGGCTCCACGCATGACTATTGCGTTTGGGGCCACCAAGATATTTCTGGAAACCAGGTCCTATACGAGACGCTATTCCAGATCTTGACTTGCAGGTCATGCGTGTGCGATTCTGCCAGCCCGGCCTCAAGGACGACCTCTCTAATACGTTGCCTAGCGGCTCATATCTGCAAGTGGCAACTACCTGTACGCGCCCCCCGACTAACTTGCGGCGGCGCGCGTGCAAAACAGCAGGGGGACCTGCGCAACCTACTGAGCATGTCCTGGATTGGTATAGGCAAGGAGCTCAGAAGGTCGAATGGCGCAACAAGACGCTAGCGATCATGGCCGCAAGGTTGATTGATCCGATGGATTTACGCAGGACGCAGAGAAATCACACAAGTGCTGCGCATCTTCGCATCCACACCCGAGTGGATAAAGGAGTTCGAACTTACGTTCAGTCCCCGAAGAATGGCCCTGAGTTGGGCCATGTTGTCAGACGGGCAACGATGAACCTGGGCGACGACTCGATCATGCAAGACATCAAGATCCAGGACCAGCTTATCGGGTACAGCTACAATGCACCGCTACCAGATGGCGCCACCAACATCCGCACTCGACTCTAATGGGGGCAGCCTGAACCGGCTGTCCCCGGACACAGGAGTTTACGTCCACGCCAAAGGCGAGTTGCGATCATCGGTGACGATCCTCTCCCTCCCCCTTCGATTGAGCGCGGCCGTGTGCCCCCCTCTATGCCCGAATCTCCGACACTCAGTTCACCTGAGACTGAGCGACAGACAGCACTACCGACCGATGCCCGAATCAAACAAAAGGAAAAACATAAAGCAGACAAAGAAGCGGACATCGAACCGCGCAAGATACCCAGGATAGTCGAAGAAGGTAACGACGACTGCGGGGGCGACCTGAAAGGACTCGGATGTAGCGCGTACGACGCCGACGTACCTCTTGGCTCCGACACGGAAAGTGACGATGAACATGAAATTTTCATCAATTTACTTGCGGGGCAACCTGCTGAATCGTAGGCATATGTGCCCTCCACAATCCCCACCCTGCGCTATGGACGTCACAATAAGGTGGAGATGCTGGAATTGCGCGGAGGAAGTGGAGGCATCTCGCGGCCAGCATTCAGCCGAGGTTTGTCCTCGGGGGGAACCTCGGCACACGTTCCTTTGTTGACCATGGAAACAAGAGTGTTCAGGATGCAGTGATGCACGGTCTAGACATTTGTTTCGTCGAAGTTGTTATGTCACAACGTAGCTGCAAACCGGCTGGGCTACGTTCTTATTTCAATGCTCAGGTTAATCACGATACTTGGCATGAACATCATATAGAGGATTGGCTGCGTATCAAGTTCTGCGGGAAGGTGGCCATACGTCAG